GTGGGGAACTTGAGGCAGAGGTGCCTCATGGAGATGACAGCCTCCAAGTCCTCGAGGGCAGGCCGGCCGAGGATGATGTTGTGTGCGCAGTCGAGGTTGACGACGACGAACTCCACTTCGAGCTTGGCTCTATGGGATCCGTCGCCGAATTCAACCATGAGTGCGATGACGCCCTCGGCGTCGATGCTATCCCCCGTGAATCCGGAGAGGGGGGTGTTGATGTGTCGGAGGGACCCTCTGTCGAGTCCCAACTCTTGAAAAGTGCTGAGATACATGACGTTGACGGAACTCCCCGTGTCGACGTAAGTCCGGTGGATGATGGCGTCATTAATCTCAGTGCGGATGACGAGGGCATCCCTATGCGGCAGAGAGCCCGAGGGGAGGTCCGCGTCCGTAAAGAAGATGGGTTCCCCCCTCGGTCTCTTAGTTGGGGGCATATGATTGACTTCCCCAATGTAAAGGGACTGTGCCCACTTCTTCCTTTGGCTTGTTGAATCGCCTCCAGTGTTGCCGCCGTTGATCATATGAATATGGCGCTTGTATTGTTGATGGGAGCCCTCTCCCTCATCATCGAGGCCCCCTATTTCTCGCTTCTTCCCCTGTGGGTTTCCCAAGGGGATGGTGTTGGGGTTCACCCACTTGTTGGCCTTCGGCGGAAGCCCTTGATGGTGAAGGGGGCCCTGGGGAGGAGGGCCCCTGATGAACTGAGATAAGTGGCCCGCCTGTATCAGCCTCTCGATGGCGTTCTTCAGCTGATGGCAGTCGTCGGTTTTGTGTCCATGGTGGCGGTGGAAGCGGCAGTAGGGCTCATCAGGACCGATGGCATAAACCTCGAGAGGTGTGCGGGAGTCTCGCTCAACGAGCCCCCGCTCTTCCGCATGATCAAGAATGACGCTGACGGGATGCGTCAAGGGAGTGCGTGGATGCTCAAGGAGGACGGGTTGCGCCCATGCCTTCGGATTGTTCTTGTAACCGCCCCCGGGTCTGGCTTGGCCACCTCGGGAGCGATCGTTGTATTGGGCCTCGCGGTTGGCCGGAGGGGGAGGCCCTCCGGGCCGATTCCCGCCTTCACTCTTCTGAGAGGGGTCCGTGTTGCGGCGGTCCTTCTCGATTTCCTCCGCTTCAGCATATCGGTCCCCCCGCTGAAGGGCCTTTGTATAATCGCGGGGGGGATCAGTAATGAGGCTCCGGGAGAAGTTACCGTTGCGGAGGACGGTGTGGAAGAGGGCCATCAGGGTCCTGTCATCAGCGCCTTCGACCTCGAGGGAGGCTTGCCTCCAGCGCTCTAGGAAACTCCGAAGGGTTTCCTCCTTCTGTCGTCTCACGTTTAGGAGGTGGGAGAAGTGTTTCTTTGAGCGGTGCCTCCCTGCAAATTGTGTAAGGAAGCGGTGGGCAAGTTCTTGCCAAGAATCAATGCTGCCTTCGGGCAACCGGTTGAACCACTCATACGCTGGTCCCTCCAAGGTAGAAAGGAACCAACGGCATAAGTATTCATCCGATGCCCCCATCATCATCATGCTGTTTTGATAACGACTATAGTGCTCCTGGGGATCCGTCTTCCCCTCATATGGTTTGATAGGTTGCCCCCGATATTTGTGGGGGATTTTGGCCGCCAACACCCTTGGGGTGAAAGGCGTCCTAGTGCGGAGCTGAATGAGGGGCTCGCCTGAGCCTTCGGCAAGTTTACGTTTCATTTCCTCCACTTGTGCCCGGAGGTCGGCGTACTCCGGGTCTGGCCTCGCCGTCGAAGCCGTCGGGGGTGCCTGGCGATTCTCCTCGAGTTGACGGAGGAGGGCTTCAATGATTTCGTCCTTGGGATCCTTCGGGGCAACCCCTTGGGAGTTGGCCCGGAAGGATTGCGCCTGATTGATCTGGTGCCTGGCGTCATCGGCATGGAGGAGGGCTTTGCCTTTGCTTCGTGGGGGAGGCACGCCTTCGGCGCCCGAAGCAGAGGCTCCACTCTCCTGGGGCCTGCTGAATGCCTGTTTCCCGAGGCGGTCTTGGACCCCTCGGTGCCCGGGAGCTCCCCCAAGCCTCTCAAGTACAGAGGTTCGGGGTTTCTCTCTCATCATGGGGCGCGTGTCCCTGGATTGGGCCTCTTGGGAGGCGGTATCCTGTGCCATGACCCCCTCGGCATTGCCAATCCCCGGGGGAGGACTGTTGAACAAAGGAGGGAGTGGTGGTAGTTGGATAACATTCCCTCCAGCGTGGGGCTGAAGGGGCGCCTGGGAGGCGAGGACTCCTGAATTGAGAGCCATGTTTTGAACGAAGGCCGCAAAGGCAGCCTGAAGATCGATGGCCGGGGCCGGAGGGGGAACTTGGTTCTCACTCCGATCCCTCCTTCGATTATCAAGGCCAATGCGGGCATCAGGGGCGTTCTTCTGTAGCTGCTGACGGAGGTCAGCGGTAGCCTGCTCCAACTCAAGGATGACACCACCCTCGGGTACCAAGAGCCTGTGGGAGGCCTCAGCCCCGTTGGTTTCGCCGGGGGCGACGTGGTTCTCCTCCAGAGTTTTAGATTGGGCACGAGTGGTTCTTCCCATCTTTTGGCAAGTGTTTTGTATTTGGTAGAGGGGGAGGGTTTCTTACTTGATAGTTCAGACCTCTCAACGAGAGCACCAAATGATGGATAGTCTACCCGGGGGGTATCTTATCCGAGGGGTTATTGCAGGAATAACTAGAGAGAAGTCAGAGCAAAATAGGAGGAGAGAGAGTCGATTTATTAAATGAACTCAGCGTCGTTTACAAGGAGAATAAGGGCTGCTATTTATAGCAGCAATAAATGCGATGAGAGGACACGTGTCAGTAATCCAACGGCCGATGGGTCACATCAGCCGGTTGGCACCGGCAGTGGTACGTCCACCGCATTGAATGCGGTTGGCGGATGTGACGTGGTATTCAATGCGGTGGTTGGCTGTCTCTAAAAGGAATCTTAGATGATTGAGCTAGTTCAGCCGAAGGCTCCCGGTGTAGCCGAGGGCTCCGTGTGGTGAGGACCCTTGTATGGCCGAAGGCCCCGTGTGACCGAAGGCCCGGTTCAGCCGAAGGCTCTTCTGACGCCGAGGGCATGAAAATGCCGAAGGCTCATGTTTTCGCCCGTTTTCTCCCAGCAGCTTCTTATGCCCGAAAAGGCTATCCTGTGAGTCCTGGAGCCTTCGGCCAAGGAGGCCGAAGGCATCCCAGTGTGTATTCTGAGCTATTTCGAGGTTTGGGCCGTTATACTTGGGCCTGAGTTGTTCTCTGGGCTCAATGGACTTGTGTAGGAGAAGTAGGAGTCTATGGGCCGGGGGTTCCTGGGGCATATACTCCATCAGTACTCTGCCATAAGGTAGAGGGTCCTAATCCCTGGGTCGGTGTCAAACTGACCCAGACATGTAGTTTTCTATTTCGAACATCCTAATATTTAATAAAAAAAATTATGTGTACTCACTATTATATCCACTTTTGTACTCATCGTGTTTGTGAGGAGTTCTTTTTTGTCTATGAATCTCTATCATAGACAACAATATGTCTATAAAGACATGATGGGTACAATAGTGGGTACAAGAAGAAGCTCTCAATGTATAATCATAAGAAAAAAATAAAGTTAGAGCTACTTTTTTCATTATTTCCATTCAAAAAATATAAAATTGTCATTATTTCCATTGAAAAAATAAGGTTAGAGCACACTAAAGTTACCGTAGATAATCATTTCCATTATTTTTTTATATAAAATGTACTTTATTTTATTAATTAGATATATTTTAAATTTTTTTCGTCATAAATCAGCAAAATCAGCCAATACACCCACTTCGGCCATATATTTGAGTAGAATCAGCCGATTCAATCGATTTCAGTGTTACTAAGCGGACTCTAATTTACAAATAGATTTTACATGTAATAAATCAAAAAATAGGAAATTGTATTACTGAGAATTGTAAAAACAAAAATGATATGGATTATAAATTATTTTATCATAAAAGGAAAAGGAAATTGAGAAATATTTTAGAATGGAACAAAATAAAAGAATAAAAGAATGCAGATAATTTTGGACAAATGGAGTAAGAAATATGTAAACATCAATACCTTTCTAGTTTATGTTTCTAAAATTAGGACCAAACATTAACAAATTATAAGCCTAATCGCATCCTTTAATAATCTAAATTCCACACCAATTTATTTACGTATTCATTTAGTCGATTTTATTTTCCAACAATCTAATACCGTCAATATATTTATCCGACAATGTTTTTTAATTACAGCCTTAACTCTTATTATTACATCAAATTTTTATCAATTATTTTGTGAATAATTCTCATTTAAAAATAAATTAATTTGGAATTTAGTTTTTTGTTATTACTTCAAACCTATTTTTGAAAAAAAAAATATACATGTAAAAATGGATTTGAACCATTGGACCTTAATTTTAGCATTTAACTTTATTTCACGAACAAAAATGAGCCTAAAAACATGTGGCAATTGAGACTTCACATGTTTTTAAACTTTATATATGTAATATCGATGTCATATGAAAGATTATAAAAAATTATGAAATTTGATACATTTTTGTATACATTAGAGTACAAATAAAGAAATCATAATAGTTTGAAAATGGGTATCATTTTTGCTTGGGTCTTGCATGTTGTTGTTCTCTTTCTCCTGGTTTCCGTTATTCTCTTCCTCCATCATGTACCAGGTGAATGAGAGTGTCACCTTCCGTCAAGGTTGCCACACCTCACTTAACAGTCTGAAATACCATTTTTGTTTGGGTTGGACTTTTGGAACATATTTGGGGTGAAAATGTCAAATTTAGGGTTTTCATCCCTAATAAGGTTGCTGTTAGCTTATAAAGCTAAAATGTAATATTGACCCCAACCTATAATTCTTTGTACCCATTTTGTTTACCGCCCCTAATCTCAATAGCCATTTTTCTTTTTATACATACACAATATAAATTAGCATGAGAACATTCACGAACATAATATAAATGAGTTACAAGTAGAGGGCAGTTCTTCACAAACTTCAATTTAGATGGATGTACCCGATCGAAAGGTAATAGAAAACATTCTGTTATTTTTTTCGTGGTGCAGGATTCATGTTTAATAACTTAAACATGTGCTTTTTTGTTTAGATTTCTATGTGGACTAAAGCAAAGTGTCCGCAACAAGGCCCATCCGGAAGGTTCAATCGCAGAAGCATATATTGCAAAAGAGAGTTTGACGTTTTGCTCGATGTACTTACGCGGGGTAGAAACTAGATTTAATCGAGATGATAGAAATAATGATATATCATCTGATGATGCTTTATCAATCTTTTCACAAAACTGTCGGCCTTTTGGAGCTGCAACATATGCTGAATTATCAAAGGATGAACTCACAGCCACCCAATGGTTTGTCTTTCAAAATTGTGAAGAAGTCAAGCCATATTTTGAGTGAGTATTTTTATTTATGATTTTTCTACCTGTAGCATGTGTATACAACTAGCTTGTGTACACTGCTGCTTGTTATATTTTTTTTATATTTACTACAATATTAAAATAGCATTTTATTTTATCTTTTATAATTCGTTCTTCACATTAAATGTTGTAGATTGCACAAGGAAGAGCTTCTCCTATCCGGGTGTGAAAATATTGACGAAGAACACAAGGACAAATTTCCTACATGGTTCAAAATCCAGGTACGTATACATAATATAAATAAAGTCTGCTGTTGCACCATATACTTGTGATGATGTTATTGATTATTTTAAGCATTTTGTTAGATGAGTAGATTACTTAAACAAGATCCATCTGAAGCAAACGAGTCTCTTTATTCACTTGCATGTGCACCACATAGGTGTGTTCGAAAGTACTCTGGCTGCATTGTTAATGGAGTAAGATTCTTAACTAAAGATCGCGATAGTCACCGGAAAACTCAAAATAGTGGAATTGTTGTGGAGGGGAACCATGGTGAAGAGATCATAGATTTTTATGGTGTTCTAGTTGAAATTGTTCAACTTGATTATGTGAAAGATAGACATGTTACTATATTCAAATATGATTGGTTTGATCTCGGAAAAAGAAAAGAAAGGATACGAAAGGAGGGATATATTACTAGTATTAAAGTGACTAAAACGTGGTATGAAAATGACTCATATATACTAGCTGATCAAGCCAAACAAGTTTTGTACATGAACGATCCTAAATTAGGACGTGACTGGAGAGTTGTGCAACCATTTCAACATAGACATATATATGATGTGCCAGAGAGACAGGACGAAGTGATAAATGTTGATGATGATTCTTCGATGGAAGACGAAGTGTATCAAGAGATTGAAATTAACGATACATTTGAAGTTATCCAAAATGATATACAATCCTTACATAGAGAGGATATACAATCTGAAGACGATGAGGAAACATTCATTTCAAACGAATCAGTTGTATCACGTGCAGTTGATATCGATGATGCCCATGAAGAAGATTTAGATGACACTCCAATTGATAGTACTGAATCCTCCCAACAAAGTACTAGTACTGGTTCTGAGTTTGAAAGTGACGATTCTGATGGATAATTTGATGTTGCTTGCTATTCTCAATGAAATGTGGTAAGATTTTATTTGTATTGCATTGTATATCCTTATTTGTTGGCTTACAATATTTCATTCTATTTTTCTTATCTATGTTTTGATTTATAACACTTAGCAAGTACGTAGTATTATGTATTAATTCAAGCTTTTGGTGTTATTCAGTTATTAAGCTGTATATATGTATGTTTATTTGTTTCAAGAACATTACCTAAAGGTTCTGTTTGAGGTTGTTTAGGAATCCTTGCTCAGGAATCATGACAGCTTCTTCTAGACGACATCTCAGCAATTGTCTTGATGTGATGCTCGTTCCTACACTGCTCTTCAAGTCTCACATAAATTTTGTTGAGAAGAGAAGTTGCTCTGAATATGCAGAATGGTTGGTGGGAGAGTTCTGAATATAGGATTTTATTAAACTTCGTTCATGTAGTTTTTAATGTTAATCTGTATGCAAATTTTAATATCTCATGACCTATTTTATTCTCTGTTTCACAAAGTTTGAAAATACTTAGTTTGTTCAGAAGGATGAATAGCAGGAGCTTGAACAAGTTGAATATTAAACTTTCTTTGAGGTTGACTGTGAACTGATGTTGTCTTAGTGTGTTGCAAGGAAAGTGCAGAATATCCTGCTTATTATGTTTTAGCGCTATTAAGAATGTTTTTACTTGAACTGTAATTTGCCCCAGACCAGATCAGTCCAGACCAGACCAGTTCAAACCAGACCAGACTTGGATAGTTATAAAAATACAAAGAAACCAGACCTTACCAGACCAGACCAGACCAGTTCAGACCAGACCAGACCAGATCAGACCAGCAAATTACAGTCCAAGTAAAAACATCCTAAATTGTGTTGGTTATTGTTCTAAGCTCCGATACTATATATTGGTCTGCTTATTAGTTATGGAAAGAGATGGACTCGGACAGATTGGCCCAACCTGGACCGGCCTGACCCGACCTGGACCGTGCTGACTTGGTACTGTGCAGGCATGACTTGACCCGGTCAGTCGATACCGGGGCTGGGGCCCGAATGGGAGAAGTTGGGGTGGGCTACGGGCTAGGGAAAGTGTGATCCGGTCTGGGCCCAATTAGAAAAGTGTGAACCGGTCTAGGGAAAGTGTGAACCGGTCTTGACCCGGTCAGTTGATACCGGGGCTGGGGCCCAATTGGCTGCTAGGTGGGTGGGGCCAGGTGGTTTGGGTGGGTTTGAAGGTAGAGGGTGGGGGTAGAATAAATTCGAAAAGACAAAATTTAAAAAAAAATCGGGAAAAACGAATTGAGACCCAGAAACCAACCCTAATCCGGATCGAACTACGACCGCTCCGAGTTTTCTTATTTTTGGACGGCCTGAACAAAATTAAACTCAAAATTAAGATATACTAGTATTCATTTGTTTGGGATTTTGGAGATTGTTATTGTCTTATTGTTTATAATTCATATATTTGGGTAATTTTATTTGAAAACGGATTTTAAAATATAAAAAGATAAGGTGCATGTTGAGATATCAGCCTCCGCCCCGATACGATCCCAAACATACCAGCAAGGCCCAAATTGGTTTGCAGGCTTTGTAGGCTTCATTGACTGAAGTAGGGATGAACATAATGGTTTGGTTTAACCGAATCGAACCATACCAAACCGAACTAAACTAAATCGAAACTGAACTGTATGCAATTTGGTTTGAGTTTGGTACTATCTCTTCCAAACCGTATTAAACCAAACTGAAACCGATAAAAACCGAATGAAATCGAACCGAACTAAAAAAATTCAAAAACACCTTCATATATTATTAAAAATTAACAAATTCAAACCGAACCAAACCGAACCGAACCAAACCGAAAAATAGTATGATTTTTGTTTGGTAATAATTCTTCCAACCCGTTCCTAACCGAACCGAAATCAATAAAAACCGAACTGAAAACCGATATACCCAGCCCTAAACTGAAGTTACCGTAGATGACTATTTTAGATATTTTCATATTTTTTTAAATATAATTTTTTTCACAATTCGATCTACCAAAATAAGCCAATCCAACCATCTTGTAGCCTGTTTGGTAATACCCAAATCATCTATATTGGCTAATTCTGCTAAAATTTATAAAGTGTTGGTTGAAGTGGCTGGATTGACTGATGTTCCCTATTTATGAGAAATTATATTTAAAATATACTTCAATAATAAAATGAAGAAAAAATTATATGAAAAACAGCGAAAAAGATCTTTTATAGTAACTTCAGCCAATACAGGCAGAAAAGTAACTATAACCTTACTTTTTGTTAGTATTACTAGTGTAAGAGAATGATGGATTATAGATGTTTTTAATTAAATTAATTTAAGTCAATTTATCGGATTAGATCTAGTGAGACTTAAATAGATTAATTTAGACGAGACTATACTTCGATAACAGTAAAATACAATAAAACAAACATCTATCATATAAGATCAGACATCTATCATATCTTCGATTACAATAAAACCAATAAAACGAGCATCTATCATATCTTTGATTACAGTTCAAAAAAATTATATTAGATCAGATTAGATCAGACTTAGACAGATAAAAAAATGTACTACCTCAATCCTTTTTTATGTAGCCATCTTTGGCTTTTCCAATCAAAAGTGATAAACTTTGATCCATTATTTTGACTAATATATTTATGTGAAACTTAATAAATTTATACTTTTATGATAACATTTTTAAACAAAGAACATTTTATATAATTTTCATATTATCAATATGACTTCGATAATCGATTAGATAAACATATAATCGATCAAAGTTGAACAACTTATTTTAGAATTTGAGAATATAAAATTAATCCAAAAGTGCACCCATTTCATTCACCACTTAGGGCCACAAATAGCATTAATTCCACTATATTTATCAATTGATTTTAAAGTCAATCCTTTTGCACATACTGGATCTCATTTCTAGAGAATACTCTTCCTCCCCATAGCTCTTGCCTGAACCAAGTTTTTATACTACGTATATCACACCGATTTGTCCTACCCTGCAGCTTCTTTGAACTTTTGAAGTTTTATTGCGATGCAATTTTAAGGAAGATGAGGATACACTTGAAAAGCTCTTCACCAATGGTAATTTTTATCTTCCATTCTTTCCATAATTTGTTAATTATCTATACTAAATCATTAAATATGTAAAAATATACGGGTCTTATTTGAGTTATCTCAAATCTTGTTCTGGTTTTATCGTATTACTCCGCTAATAGGTTTTATTAGTAATTTAAATTTAGCAACAAAATCTTAAATTAGGTTTGCCGCTACTTTTTTATGTTTTGGCGGTCTCCCAAAAATTTACTTTGTATAATAGGATACATATATAATTGAATTCTCGATACTCTTCAGTCTTCACACGATATCTCAACCCTAGTTTTTTACTCTTTCGTGGAGTCTTCTCTTTCAAGGGGCGCTCTTTCGGTAAATTTTCCCAACAGGTTTAGATATTATATGTCTACGCGTATTGTTGATTGGCTCAGTAAATTAATTGATAATGCTTTTGCCATATTTCTTGTATTATAAGAATTCCTTTTCAAACTACCAGTTTAATTGATACAGAGTATATTTTATTCTCAATAATGTCTGCTCAATAATTGTAAACATATGTTCAAAATTCTTCATCATACTTTGAGTTATAATTTAATACTTGATGTACAGTAGTTTCATTTACGTAGTTTTCATCATTTTTTGTGAAATGCTTTACAAATTCTGGGATTTGAGTTGTTTATTCAATTAATTTCTTATCAAATATGCTTGTTAATTTCACTAGAAAAAATTTATAACTAATAACAATTGATAAGCAATTACAAGCAGGGGTGCCTAAAAATTGCAGTGTGTATAAGTTTGTATGTGTGTATACTAGTATGTCTAAGTGGATGTGAATGTGTATATTATGGTGTATGTGCATTGTGTTTATGTGTATTTGTGCAGTGTGTGTAGATATAACATGTGTTAGTGCATGAGTCTAGTTTTTGCATTGTATCTTTAAGTGCGTGTGTATATTATGATGTATGTGCAGCCTGTGTGTCATTGTAATTGTGCAGTGTGTCTAGATTTAGTTTTAGTTAGCACCTATTTCTGTCTAACTCTTTTATATATGTTTTAGGAATGGCTCCTGGATTTAAAGGTAACCTGAAAAGAAAAAACAACTGGGAAAAACAAGATGTTGTGCATCATAATTCTAAAAGTGGTCAAGGTAATTCGACAACTACAAAAGCAACAACCAAAAGACCTCTAGACAAAACACACGTGGCATCCAATGAGACAACATTAAACACTGGACGTCCTCTTAGTCCAAGGCATGGCACTGCATCAAATCAAAATGTTGAACCTGCACCAACTGAGAGCATACGTGGCCAAACACCACAAACAAATGTGCTTGGAGGTATAACACATTTTTGTATATTGAGTAGCTAGAATTCCTGGACCACATTTTTTTACACTCATGCAACCTCTAATAGAATATACAGATGGAAGTTAAATGTTGATGTATAATTAGTTGTTTGTATGTTTAGTATATGAATCTGATTATGGGAAGAACCAATATATAATAGTTAGGTCATTTGCATGGATGGATGTTCATCAAAAGTATATAGCTATACTGAGAACTTATGAAACTCTATTAAAGTATACTAAGTACTAACTATACTAATCAATTTAATATATTAAACTACTTAATGTGTAGTCAAATAGAATGGAATAGTGGTAAACATGAAAAAAACAGAAAAATAAGGGAGAGGAAAATAACAAATACAGAGGATGGAAAAAATGGTAAGTGATGAAACATTAAGCTAAAATACATAATAGATTGTTTTACTTGGCAACTGTTTTTAAAGTGGTTACTGTTTTTAAACAAATGTGTTACAGATTCAACTTCACGTCCTACAAAGCGAGTACGTGGTCAAACGATGGGCAAGGGGATCATGAAGGCATATGCTTTGTCTAAGACTAAACTGAAGATAAACGTTGATCCAGTAATTGGAAGGCCTCAAAACCCTGAAGAGTCGGCAAAGCTTTCAAGCCAAATTGGTATAATTACCCGTGATGTGCTCCCTGTTCCTAGAAGGTGGAAAGAAGTAGATGAGGAAAATGGATTGACTCCTGGATTTGATCATATGCAGGTATGTATCTTTAAAAATGAGTTAGTTATTTTTACTTTGATTGTGATGTGAAAAATGCTTCCAAAAAATGCAGATGCATATGGTTGTCAATGTTGATGATGTGGGTGTGAAAGAAAGCTTGATTGAAAGGCTGAAATCTAGTATGCGACAAAAACGTTACAGGCTACATCTTCACTACAAGAAGTTTAAAACTCTGGAATTGGCTAAAATCAATAAGCCGACTTTTTATCTTGACCAAGACAACTGGGAATTGTTGTGTGACTTTTTTGCATCAGAGAAATTCAAGGTGATAACCTCAAACATAAGTGACTCTTTATACTGCATGCATATTTATATATACTAAATATGTTACATTACTTCGGGTTGAAATTAAAATTGTTTAAAATTTTGGTGTTGTTTGTGGGAATGCAACGCCAAATACTCATTGTAATTGTAACGTGTAGAAATCAAGTACCGCGAACAC